TTCTAAGGGGGAATTGGATGCAATTCATTCTTTTTATCCCGGCCCCTTTTGGAGTGGTTTAGTGTGTGATTGGACATGTGACAGCCATAGGCTCTAGTCTTTTGGTCAACTGAAGTAACCTAGGAAGTCCTATGGGTCTATCCGTCCAAGGAATTGTAGGGAGCACCTTTCAAAGAACTGAAAGAAACATTGGAGATCAACCAATCCAAATGTCTTCTGGTTGTCACTGTTCAGTCGTTTCAGTTGGGTCCAACTCCTCATGATCCCATTTTGGGGTTTTCTTTGCAAAGATACTGGAGAGGTTTGCCATTTTCTTCTCCAGCTCATTTGACATATGGGGAAACTGAGGCAAACAGGGTGAAGTGACTTGCCCAGGCCAGATTTGAATTCAAGAAGATGAGTCTTTCTTCCTGACTCTAAGCCCAGTACTCTGTCCACTGTACCACCTAGCTGCCCCCTTCTCATATCACAGACATAAAAACTGAGCCTCAAAGAGATGAAGTGTTTAGTCACACATGAAGCCAAGAGAACTGGTGTTCAAATCCAGGTCTTCTGACTTCAGATGTAATCTTAGGATCAGAGCTCTAGAGAGAAGGTTGCACGTACTTCAGATGCCATCTGGTCTAACCCTCTCATATTACCGATGAAGAAGCCTATGGAGGCTGACTTGTCCAAGTCAGGTAATAGACAGATATTAAACAACCTAGGTGGGATTAGAACCAGTTCTTGAGTTGAGGGAGCCCAGTCTTTTCCCTCTGTCCCATGCTGCCTTTCTTAGATATGGCAGCATAGGGTAGTTAGGAGAGGTGGACTCAGTGAAACCCACTTCTACTCCCTTGGCGCTGCTGCATGCTGCTGCTGTGAGAATACCCAAGGAGCTAGGGAGGCAGCAAGCAGTCTGTCCGAGCTCAAGGCTTCCTGGGGGCACAGTGGATAGAACGTTGGACTTGGAGTTAGGAAGGCCTGAGTTCAAATCCTGATGCAGACACTTATTTAGCTACAAGACCCTGGGCAAGTCATACCTCTCTGTTTCAGTTCCTTACCCATAATGTGGGGCTAATAATAGTCCCTGCTTCAGAGGGCTGTTGGGAGGATCAACCAAGTTAACATGTAGAAACCTTAAAATAATAATAAATAGCAAACAATTGTATAGCACCTACTGTGTACCAGGCGCTTCACAAATACGATCTCATTTGATCTTTACAACAACTCTGGGAAGTAGGTGCTGTAATTATCCTTTTTACAGATGAAGAAACTGAGGTTAAGTGACATGCCCAGGGTCTCGCAGCTAGTCGGGCTGGATTTGAACTCAGGTCTTCCTGACTCCAGGCCTATTACTCTCTCCACTGTGCCACCTAGCTGCCTCTAAAGTACTATATAAATGCTAGCTGATATTAGTGGAATGCTGAGGTCTGGGCTAGGGCCCTAGCATCAATTGTGAATTCAGTTAAGTCCTCCTCTGAGCAGGAGCAGCCTTTGAAAGCTTTGCACTCAGGTTCCTCTGTGTGGTAAACAGTGCAAATCTGTATGTGCTGAGTGGATCGAGAGCATTTCAGTCCAGGTGGGAAAACTAACAAAGACACAGGAACAGAAGTAAGATGAGGTCAGGATTCTTCTTCCAGGAGCTTGCTTCTAACTCCAGGATGTTAAGTTACAGATTAGAGATCTGGAAGAGGAAATAAGAACACTCCAGGCATAGCTTGTAGGAGGAAAGGCCTTATTTTCTTTTTATCTGCCAGAAGGACCAGAACCATCCCTGGGCTTTGAGAGAAAACATAGAAAGAATAACCCTTAAGATTAAACTCGTGCCCCCTTGCCAAGGGAAAACTCTTTGCAAGTTCATAATATGCCCAAGTAGATCCGTCTTCATTCAGGGGTAGGGAACCTGTGGCCTTCTAGGTCCTTGAGTGCAGCCTTTTAACTGAGTCCAAGTTTTACAGAACAAATCCTTTTTTCTAGGGGATTTGTTCCCTGAAGTTTGGATTCAGTCAAAGGGCTACACTTGAGGACCTAGAGGGCCACATGCGGCCTGGAGGCCCCAGGTTCCCCATCCCTTGGATTAGATCAATTCCCTTCCATTCTGACCTTGACCAAATTTACTTTCTATTTGGCGAAAATTTAATGTAGGCACCCTAAGGTAAAGGTTTTGTTAGAAAGAGATGGTGGACTGCATCCTATTTCCCATTAGCAGATCTTGATTTTTTTTTAAAAGGGGGGGGCAGCCCCGAATGCAGAAGATGTGAGTTCAAACCTTGCCTCAGACACTTACTAACTGTGTGACCCTGGACATCACTTAACCTCTGTTTGCTCCAGTTTTCTCAACTATGAAATGGGGATAATAATAGCTCCTATTTCACAAGGTTGTTGTGAGGATGAGATATAATGTTTGTAAAAAGTGGTTAACTACAAGAAATGATGCATTCAATGATCTTAGAAAAACATGGAAAGACTTGCATGAAATAATGAAGAGCAAAATGATCAGAACCAAGAGAATGTTATATACAGAACCAGCAATATTGTTTTAAGAACAACTTTGAGTGAATAAGTCACTTTGATACCCAAATTAATTATAAAGGACATGTGAAGAAAGACACTATCATGGGGCAGCTAGGTGGTACAGTGGATGGAGCACTGGCCCTGGAGTCAGGAGGACCTGAGTTCAAATCCGGCCTCAGACCCATAACACTTACTAGCTGTGTGATCCTGGGCAAGTCACTTGACCTCATTGCCTAGCCTCCTCCAAAAAAAAAAAAAAAGACTATCTGCATTCAGAGAAAGAACTGATAAATAGAAGTATGTATTGAATAATTTTACATATGTATGTGTGTATATATATATATACATATATACACACATATGTATGTGTGTATATATATATACATTTATATATACATATACATATATATACATATATATACATATATATACGTATATATATACATATACATATATATATATATATATATATGTGTGTGTGTGTGTGTGTGTGTGTATATGTATATATGCCTATTTGTGTCTAATGGTAACTATCCCTAGGGCAAGGAGGGAAGAAAAAAGGAAAAAAGAAAAAAATTTACATGATAACTTCATTATATATTTTAAAGGAATAGCAAGTTGTACATAAGAGATTTTCAGTTTCATGTGCAATCATCTTTTATTATTATACTGTTTTAAATATGCCTGTTTTCTTTGATAAATTAAAAGTAAAATAATTATTTTTTTAAAGTGCTTAACATAGTGCCTGGCATGTAGTGGGGCTATATAAATGTTTATTTCCTTCCTTTCCCCAACCTAAAAAAAAAATGCTTCTAAGCAGATAGCTGGGACTTGTTCTGTATCTTTGAACCCATCAGGGAGAAAAAGAAACTGACTCCTCAGTAATGATTTGGTTTGTACGATGAACAGTCAAAGTGATGACAGGGAGAGAAGAGGGTTTATTCTGCTGTCATGGCTGGCGGGCTCAGCAGGATTGAAAAACAAGAGTTTCTCTCTTATCTTCATAACAGGAAGCCATACTTTATGCTCTGTTCACTATAGGCTCCCAGAGAGGAAGCACAACATGAAGCTTGCAATTTGTGTTTTATCGTGCAAGCAGATGAGGCAGAAACCTGTCTGAAAACTGGCTTGCAGTTGTTAACGAATGTCCCTACAGAAGCAGCGTGTTATCAACTTGAGGCAGGGGACTGGAATCTAGTCACTTCAGTTTACTGAGCCGCACTTTCCTCATCCATAAAATGGGGTTAACCACACTCGCACTACCAGCCTCACAGAGTTATTGTGAACAAAATCCTTTGTAAACCTGAGCTCATCGATTTCCATCTGGAAGGGACTTTAGAGGCCTTGTAGTCCAACCCCTTCAATTTACAAATGAGAAGACTGAAACTCAAAGAGGTTAATGACTCTCCCAGAATCCCACAGCCAGTAAGTGGGTGGCGTGGTGGAGAGTGCTAGACTTGAAGTCAGAAAGACCTGAATTCAAATCCTCCCTCGGATCATTACTCGCTGTATGACCTTGGGCAAGTCACTTATCTTTCTGTGCTTCAGTTGCCTAAACTGGAAAATTAGTTGGATTCAGTAGCCTCTAAGAAGTCTGCCAGGACTAAATACAGTAAAGTCTCTGACTACTGGCCTCCCTGGCTCCCTTTAAGTCCCAACTAAAGTTCCACCTCCTACAGGAAGCCTTCCCCAGTGCCTTCTTAATTCTGATGCCTTCCTTCTGTTAATTGTTTATATTATATATAGCTTGCTTTGCATGTTGTCTGCTTCACTAGATTGTAAGCTCCATGAGGGCAGGGACTGTCTTTTGCCTCTTTTGTATCCCCCAGCACTTAGTACAGTGCCTGACATATAGTAGGCACTTAATAAATATTTAATGAATGAATAAACAAGTTTATGATCCCCCTAAGACATAAGGCAAATGTCCAAAACAAATTCTGAACCTAGAACTGTATGACTCCGAGTCCGGTACCTTCTGCATTGCACCACACTGTTCCACAGAAATGGGCGTCATTATGCCTTTCTTTCTTTTTTGGGTAATTAGGAGTGCTGTGCTGCAGGCTGGCAAACTGATCTTTATGGGTGCCCTGAAATTATAAGGAAACTAATTAGGTCCCCAAGAGAATCTTCAATTTCTGTCCTCTCTGTTAGCGTGTTTTCGGAAAGGCGAGCCTGCCAACAGTAGACCTGGGTTCCCCCCTCTGCCAGTTGAGAGGTGGTGGTGTAGCCAAGCAGTGTTCCAGTCCTAACGGAAGGGAGCTGATCTAGGCCAGGCCGCACTGGTCCCCAGGGGCTGCTCAAAAGTAACAACCTGTTGAAGTGTAAATCTCCAGCTGTCCACTGCAGAAGGACACCATGAGTGGTAAAGCTGCTCTGTGGTTGTCCAGAGCAGGCACCATCGTTGTTAGGAGCACTTGGATAGGAGTGTTTCTACAGCTCTGATGAACCTTCTGTTCCTTTGTCAGCACCTAGTCTGATTCTTGTTTTGTTTTTTCTTCCTTTAGGTCTGTTCCTTATCCTAGGCTTGATACTCTACCCTGCTGGTTGGGGTTCCCAGAAGGCAATAAACTACTGTGGACATTATGCTTCTGCCTATAAACTAGGCGAATGCTCCTTAGGCTGGGCCTTCTACACGGCCATTGGTGGTACTGTCCTGACATTCATCTGTGCCGTCTTCTCAGCACAAGCCGAGATTGCCACATCCAGTGACAAAGTACAAGAAGAAATTGAAGAAGGGAAAAACCTGATCTGCCTCCTTTAATTTGAGAAAGAGAGAGAGAGAGAGAGATCAGAGCCTGTTCTTTCCTAATTAACTTTGGAAAAGGATCCACTTTCCTGTTTTCACTGATTGCGACCACCCGAGTGTCGCCAGGGGCCTGTTTCTACTGCAGCCATCCTTCATTCTCCCAGGTCTCTGAGGAACCGACAGGAAGAGACAGTCCATCTCAGAGAAGCTGGACACAGGCCACCAATGGGGCAAGGTGGGGGAGGGAGTTTAGAAGCATGTAAATAGCTGACAAATGCTGTCATTGTTAGGTTGCATCTTCCCCAGAGCCCCTGAACGATTCTGAGTTAAGTCATAAAGCCAGCAATCTTTATTCTGGATGGGATGAGACGGGAAACTAGGTTGAGGGTGTCAAAAGGGTTCTTCTCTTTGTGTTTTGAGAGTGTCTTCTACCGCAAGTTTAGGACCCTTGTACAAAAAACATCCATCAGAATGAGTTGGGGGGTGAAGGGAGACTGCTGTCTAAAATGACTCCAAATACAGCTGCCTGTTACAGAACACTTTGCTGGATGAAAATGAAACTACATTCAATCCCTGCAGGGGGAAAATCATAGATGTTAAAGGGGAAGCAGGATATGGTTATTGGGTCAAGGCGCATGCCTTCCTTGGGTACCGTGCAAAGAAACTGAAGGTGATATTGACCTTGGGGTTGCAGCCCTTTGTAAGTTCCCCATGAGAAGATTACTGGAGATGAGGTACCTTCTTGGGTTAGGGGGCCAAAAGTCAGTCTGGGATTGTAGAAACTGGGGAAAGATGAAAGTCTTACAACCCAGTGGTAATGAAGTTTTACCATCTTTGATCTTTTCAAACACTTTGAAGGCTCCAGTTTCCTTCATCCCATGGACACTGACACTTCTTTCCACTTTAGGCTGTAGTATTAGTGAGTGACCATGGCCAAAATAAGATCCCCTCCCCCAGCCCTCAGTGTCCAGATTTTTGGTCAGGTGCCTTTCTGGACCTAGCTAGGCTGGTCCTTGACCAGCAAACACAAAGTCTGTCACTAGGCCTCCACTTGAAGCCTTTCCAGCTTTGTAGGACCTGCTATGGCTTAATCTTGGAGAAAGAAGGCAGGGTCACCTCCACATCTAGAAGTGTCAGAGTAGGTCTTAGGTGGTGGCTACCTCTAAAATTAGAGACAAATGCTTTTCTTTCCTGAACATAGTCAAACAGGCTAGCCTGGTGGGGCCAACATGTCCTGAGGCTGTCCCAGCTTCCAGTTCAAATGCAGATCATGTGTTTTTCTCCTGGTGTTAGAAGTTGGCTTCATTCAACTGGCAAAGGGAAGCTCATTCCCTTTCCTCATTCCAGAGACTGATGTCCCAGGGCCAGCTGTGGCCCATTCAAATACTTAATTAAGAAGCCCTGCCAAATTCTCAACATTTGCGGGGAGACATTTTCCCACTGTTTGTTCACCACGTTGCCGTCAGCTGTATTTCCAAATCTAGCAGCAACAGTAATACAGTTACCACAACTGACTTTTTTTTTAACAAAACAAAAAAGACAGCTAGTCATGTGACTTCAGTTTTTCTAGGTATAGCAACTCTTCCAGAGGACAGACTTAAAGAAGATGAAATAATGGTGCTGAAGGAATGCTTCCCCGGAAGTTGTAGCTTTTAAGAGTCAGTGAATCTGAAAACACCTATGGACGTCCCCTGCATGTGCAGGGGATGTGGACAAACTCAGGAAGACTCCTTCCTGTCTGTGGAAAAGTTCTGCCAACCTTGGAAAGTGCCTCGGGGACCAGAAGGCACACCTATGTTCACAGCTTTATCGTTTTGATTGATTCTGAACTTTAATTTTTAAACCATATTCGTAACACTCCTCTCAAAACTACCGTCCCTGGTTTACAGGCATGAAGTCTTCATTTATGTTCCTTCATGTTCATGAATTGGCCAAATCTAGACATCCATAATTTAGGGAGAAAAAAAGGATTTTTGTGAAATTAGTTGATGCTGTTACTTTTTCTAATGTTTCAGAAAGTATCTAAAAATATATGTCAGTGAAATCAATTGACTGCCAAATCCCAAGGAAACCTTTAAAGAGACTAACAAGAGACATGTCCTTATTTTTGCTTTCTTGCAACAACCTTTCAGCTTTGAGCGTTGACTTGGCTGGAAACAACTATAGCCCTACTAGTCTGCTCAGCAGAATTTTTTCCATTCTGCTCAGTAAACCCAATTCATGTGTTTTCCTTTGGATCTCTTGTATTAGAATCCTGGGAAAATTCATGATCTTCTTGGGGGACGGGTATTCTTCCTCCAGTTCCTCTTCATGGTGTGAAGGTGATCCTTGATTCCTAAAGTTCTAACATGTTGTATCAATTCAATTTACTAAGCATTAAGCTGCTATTGTGTGCCAGGCACAAAGTCAAAAATGAAAACTGTTCTTGCTCATAAGGACCTTCCATTCTACCAGGCATCAAATCCTTTGAGTACAGGCACCATGATGGTCTGAGTATTTCTAGTTGTGGAGATGATCTTCACCAGAAGGCTGTGGATAATAATAAGAGCATTGGTGCTTGAGTCAAGCTACCTTTATGACCTTGAACAAATCATACGCAACTGATGGTGGACATCAGTTTTCTCATCTGCAAATTGGGAGGATTAGAGTAGATGGCTTCTAAGGTCCTTTCCAGCTCTAGATCTATGATTTTAATCAAGAGCTCCCAAAATAATTGATTAGAAGTCAGGGTGGGGAGGAGGCTCAGCATATAATGAATCAGGTTAAAAATGATGATCATCTCAAACAGTAAATCAAATGAATATCCAAAATTACAAAGTGGAAATATTTTCTAATCACCTGAAAAGATGGCAACGCAAAGATCATTGGAGTAAAGTACAAGAATAATTAAAAAGGGGATGTAAAAAGAGCCTTTTTTGTTGGGGGGAGGGAGAGGCTGTCTTCTACATTTTGTTCTAGCAATAAGCTGCTAAAACACTGGGCCTCCAGCTTTAGAACCTCTGTCTAATCTGTGAGGCCTCACAGCAAATAGGATAAATTCACAAGTTTCATCCTAAATAATTCTAATCTCAGGCAGGAATAAGTTTGGTGAAGTTTGGGAATGAGTATTTCCTGTAACTCATCACCATCTGCTCTTCCTCTTCCAGCCTATCCTCAGTAAGTTTCCACACTCAGCTGAGGGCCAGAGGATTGAGCCAATCACCTGGGAGACTTATCTTTTGAACCTTTAGAAGTGCTCCCAAACTTGAGCTTTCTAAGATTTTTCTCCAGCAACCCACTTTAAAAGCTGTGTAATCAGCAGCTCTTGCCTTTCACCTAGTGATTGCAATCGATTGGAAGTGCACACACCTGCCATAATGCCGGGAGCAGCTAAAGCTTGGCTACAGGTTAGCCTGACTTAACTCCAGGAACCACCATGAGCTAAAGGATGAAAGTCAGCTCTGAAGCTGAGAAAGAAAGACTAGTCAGGTCTTCTGTTCTAACCACTAGTTCCCACTTTGACCCAAGTCCAAAGTAAGTAGATTGTAAATCCTGTGACTCAGATGAAAGGGGAGAGGTGGGTGTTAAACTTGGTGATTCAGCTCTTTTTTTTGAAGAGTGGATTCTCTGTCTCATTTTTGTTGTCTACATTAACAGCTTAGAATCTTCAACTGCATCTGTTATCACATATAATCCTAGGGTAAAAAAAACTTTAGGTATTCTGGATTGAGGTTTAATTCTGTATTAATGCTCTGACCTTAAAGTTTTTATGTAGGCACATAACCCAGGTTCATTGTTTGTTCAGTTATCGCTTTTAGGGGAAAGTATTACAGTTTTATTCATTAGGCCAAGGTCTTTTTTTGATTCATCAACAAAATGTTCCCATGCCCATTTTTTTTCTCCTTCATTTCAACCCTCAAGACAATCTCAATCTCCTTTTTGAAGTCCAGCTAATTCCTATGGGCTTAAATAACTTCAAGAACCATTAAGTCCCTTCTCTTTACATCATCATTATCATCACCTTCATCTGTGTGGCTGTTGTCTTGACTGTAAGAATGCTGCTCTCTCTACAGTTACTCTCTTCCCACCAATGACAGGTAAAGATGTAAACATTTGTGTCCAGAGCCAAAAAAAAAACCCCAACTTGTTTTCATTCTATTAGTTGGACCTTGCAGAATTTTCTTATGAAGTACCAAGAAAATGAAACCACTAAAAAACTTCCCACATACTGAAACTGACTATATAACAGGATGGAAATCTACTTGGTGGGTAAAGGGTAGCAAAGGTGGCATCAGACCTTGATGACTTAACTAGACTGAAAGAGCAGCTAAACCAGCAACGCACCCACCCACCACCACCATGCATCTCCTTCCACCAAAACTTCCTGAAAATGGTCTTGGTCTGAACTCGGGTTATTCTGAATAGTGCTTTAAAAACCACTCAAGATGATAACTATGCAGGGAAGAAATGCAGAAGTTAACTGTTCATTTCTCAGCTCTTCCATTTTTCTAGCAGGTATAAAAGGAAAAAAAAAAGAGATTAGTTGCAATATTCCTAATCCATTTCAGCTGACCATCTCATAATGTTATGGAAAATGTCACGTACTTAGACTGTTGCATCGGAAGAGTCCTATTTATTTCGCCTAAGTCTCCACTTCAGGCAAATCTGTAAGGTGTCCCGATGATGCTGAGTGACCTATGAGGCTCCTGAAATGTTTGCCAGTGGTTCTGTGGATTCTTTAAACCTGTGTGTTAACTCGACAATGTACCATATTGACTTGGGGTGGGGAGATATTTTTAATCATTTTCAATCTGTGGTTTGATAATCTTTTGTTAAACATGTACTCAGTAAAGTGCCATAGTCCTTCTTTTGAAGTGTAGCATATTTAAAAGATATATATGTGCATGTATATATTTATATGTATGCACATATATATACACATACATGTATATATATCCACAAGTCTGTGAGAGATGTGCAATAACAAAGGCGTTATGTTTTGTTTTCGAAAACTGGAGAAGAGTTGGAAAAGGGTTGGGGGGAGGGGGAATCATCCTGTTCAAAGCAAAGGAGAGCTAAGAATGTGGGCTTTGGCCTCATAAACCTATGGCAATCCTAATGTGCTATATAAACCAGAGAGAGAAAAGAAGAAACTGATTGTTGGTGGGAGTTTAATCTCAATAAGAACACTAGACTTTTTTTTTGTTTTTGGGAAAGTTAAGCCTGAGGACCCAGGCCCAATTTTTTTGCTAGCCTTTAATTTGAAATGTGAAGCTGCCAAACTGCTTTTATGTCAGGCTAATCTCTAGTAGCAAATATATATTATATATATATATATATATATATAATCACTGAGGAGCTTCTTTCTGAATATGCTTTTTTTTTACACTTCTCATCAATGTGGGACCACTGCTTCGAGGCTGTTTTCACACATCTCATCATAGCCACACCAGTCTTGCTTTTTAGTGCAGGTATTTCTGTGTAATAACAGTGAGTGGAATTTTGTAAAAATCCTACACCTGTAGTTACACATTTATATTTAGGAGTGATGACTCTGTAAGATCAAAGGGATGGAAGGCAAGACTGTTTTCTTTGGAGATTGTGGTGAAACTACCCATTGGCCTGAGGTATCATGGGGGGGGGGGGCAGTGTTGAGGGAAGACTTCAGTGCCCTATGGTATGCGGCAGCCACTTGAGCCAAATAGAAATTAAACTGTGCTGATGGACTTAGTTTGAGCCAGTGATCATTTGTGGTACTCCTCTTGTGTTCTCAACTAACATGTTGTTTTTCTAGCATTGCCTAGGTTCCTGTGCACATGTATTTACTTTCTTTCCCACCCCCAAAAGATCTGAATTAAACTAGACTTTATAAACCTATTCTGAATGTGTCTGATTATACTGATTTGACTGCCGTGGACAGCTTCCTGGTCAAGGAAGAATTGTACATAGACTCTATGCTAATCTCATGGGGCTTTTAATGGGAAAGAAAAAAAGTTTCCAAGTGGACTAAAACTTCTATTTATAGGTAATGCTACATATCTTTATTTAAAGATAAGGATGTAAAACATCTGTTGAGAAGAGTCTCAAAATTAACGGTTATGGAGGGAGGAAAAACAGAAAATTTAGGTAGAGGATTAATCCAGAAAGTAAAGCTGTAGTACTGAATACAGAAGCATTTTTTATTGTTTTTGTTTTGAGGGACAATAGGGAAGTCTCGACCTCCAAACCTGTTGGGTTTTTTGGGTGGGGTCCTCCCCCTCCCCTTAAGCAACCTGGTTCCCCTCCTCTGCCACTTACCATATTGATGTCAATGAAGACAGCCAGTAGGCTACAGCTCAGAACTCCTGATCTCAAGTGATCCACCAGCCTCACCCTGCAGGGTGTGTGTGTGGTGTGGGTGTGTGTGTGCGCGCGCGCACCTGGTAAGGAAACACTATATAAACTCTCACTATAACTGCGAAATGGTAAACTGACTGATACTTGCCCTCACCCCAAAATATCAAGCCAGTCGCACAGAAGAGTTCACACTTCCTGAGGAAGCTCTTTCCCACGATAGTTTCTACCCCGACTGCAATACTGTCACTAACTCCCTTTTTAGTAACTAATGCCATGACACAGTTAGGACAATGTTACTATGATGGAGTATTCCTTGTCCTCACCTGAAGTCTGGGAGAGTCAGTGGTGTCACTTGGCATTCTGGCTAGCAGTTTATAAATTAAAAAACAAACCCAGAAACCCTTCGTGTTATGATACCACAAAACCACCATCTGAGGGAGGTTATACAAGGATTATTTTCCTCATTTTTACAGATGAGGATTCAAATTCAGGTGATCACATAGCTACTACGTGATGAAGTTATAATTTGAACCCAGGTCTCTTGCCTTCTGTTTCAGTACTCTTTCCTTTATACCATCCTATATCTTTCTCATTTTCTCTCTCTTTCCCTCTTCTCTTTTCCTCTTTCCTGTTCCCCCTTTCTCCCTTCTTCTCTGTCTTTCCTTCTCCCCCCCCCCCCTGTTCCTCTTCCCCCTCTTCTGTGCTCAGCACAGTGCCTGGCACATGGCAGTAATTTTATAAATGCTCATTCCTTTCCTCTTATCTACAGCAATCTGGTAGAATTGGGGATAATTATCCAGATGGCTAAGACCAAGCAGAAATATTACAGAAATCATTATCTGGGTCCTTCTGATAAAAAGCAGCGTTTGTGATTCAGTTCCCTAGATGAGAGCCTCAATTTTTCTACGTGTTTCTCGACTAGAAGCCAGATGTGAGGCTTAGAAAATTTGCCTCTGGCCAGGAAGCATCAGAGCTGAGCGCATCAAAGATACTTTATCCTACTTCTGTCATCCTACTGAACACTTAACAGTAAGCACCTATGTATTGTCACGTCCAACTCTTTGTGACCTTGTGGACCATAGCACATCAATACTGTCCATGGGGCTTTCTTGGCAAAGATACTGGACTGGCTTGCCATTTTCTTCTCCAATGGACTAAAGCAAACAGGTTAAGTGACTTTCCCAGGGTCATATAGCTACTGAGTTATCCGAGACCGCGTTTGAATTCAGGTCTTCCTGATGCCAGGCCCATCAAACTATCCATTGAGTGGCCAAGCTGCCCTGCAGTTGGTACCTACTTATCTGAAATCATGAGGCACCATAATGTGTCTAAATAATGACATTTCTATGTTGATAATAGCTTTAAAATGAATACTTTATAGGTGTAACTATAAATGTATATATTCTGTGTGACTAAATATGTGTGTGACTATAAATATACACTGACTTCCAAAAATGTTTTTGCTCAAGTGTCTGCAATGGTCTTCCAACTCACACCAATGATTTTAATTCCAGCAGAAGCTGAAGAAGACACACACACACACACACACACACACACACACACACACACACACACACACACGCACACTCTCTTATTTGTTTGGCCTTATTTTACCCAGCATCTGTGTGTGGCTCAAGCCAAAATAATTCACTGTTTGGAATGATTAGGAAGCAGGAAGAGAGATGAAGCCAATTTGCTATTCCTCAACTTCTTCAAGGTTTTTCAGAATGCACAATAATAATGCTGCAATGAGTGACAGAACCCTTCATAGCAAGCTTCTATGTCTTTCCTTAACATAAAGACAGCATATCCAGATTCTTTGCTATATTATTTCAATGCACCATTCATTTACTTATGTGGATGTTACTTGGGGTCATGTGTCCCTGATGGAAGAGTCAGTTTATCTTTTAGATCTTAGTAAACCTTGAATCCTCCAAATAAATGTCCTGCCCACTCTCCCAAATGTCTAGAAGCAACCCCATCTCTTTACTGCAAAGGCTGCTGTCATCTCGGTCATTCTGCCTGGATCCTGAGATTGCTACCCAGACAAAGAGAAGGGGGGAAGCTATTCCCTCTATCCTCTTCCTCACAACTTCCTCTTCCCCTTTACCAGGGCAGTTTTGCAAGTTTAGTCTAAAGATAAAGTGCTCTGAGTAGTTCCTGTTAGAACGGCACTGATCATTTGCCCATCCTCACAGAGAAGGGAAAATGGAAGCCCAGAGGAAGGTATTGAGCTGAAGGAAGAATTTCTTGACATAACTACAAGTTCAAAAGATGATGGAAAGTCATTAGTTACAGGATGCTTTAAGGGCTGCCTATTTGATTTTAGGCTGTTTAAGGGCACAGAGCATATCTTACTCATGTTTGTTCCTGCCCACAGCACGACTTGTACCTTACACCTATAAGTTTCTTGATATTTTGAATGAACAATGAACATAGGAATCGCTGAAGATCCATCTCCATGACCTACAGTAGTTCCTTCCACATAGACTGAACTGATCAATTAACCAGCAAGTGAAATGGGGACAACACAGTGGTAGCATAAGTCAAGGGCGCTAGGTGGCGCCATAGTGCACAGAACACTGAGCCTGGAGTCAAAAAGACTCATTTTCTTGAGTTCAAATACAGCCTCAGACACTTCCTACTCGTGTGACCTCGGGCAAGTCACTTAACCCTGGTTGCCTCAGTTTGCTCATCCATAAAATGACCTGGAAAAAGAAATGACAAACTATCCCTAATATCTTTGCCAAGAAAACTCCAAATGAGATCACAAAGAGTCAGACACTACTGAAAACAACTAAACTGCATATGCCTGGCCTAAAAACATCACAGGAAAATGAGAGAAAAGGGTGACATGTTTATGAAGCAGATAAGACTTGGTGACTGAAGAAAAGAGATAAAGAAGAGGAAAATGACCTAACCATTCCAACAATAGGATGAAAGAAAAGTTGCAGTATCAACCAAAAATAGATTTTTAGGAAGAGGAACCAGCTTGCTGGAGGAGATAAATTCAGTTTTCAACTCTGATATAACACTGGGAAACCCTAGTGTCAATAACCTGCAAAATAACTGTCAATATGAGAGTGAAAGAAACATGGTTTCTAGTGCTGACTTTGCCACTTGGGCCAATCATCTAATTTCCTTGTCTCTGAAAGTGGTCACCACCTCTGCTTGCCATCCCGAAGAAGTGCAGTGATAGTAGACAGCAGATGTGAAAATATGATCAAATAAGGGAATGATGTAAATGATGTCACTGACATATCAAGTCCGCGTGATTCGATCAAACTAACCATCCAATCATGGACTACGTGGGTGCTAGGAAGAAAGGAAATAGGCCCTGCTCTCTAGGTGACATTCTACTGCAGCCTCGCCACAGTGAACAAAAGGTAAGTGCAAGGAGGGAGAGAGTACTAAAGGCACCTCACCTGAGCCTTGAGGGGAGGTAGCAATTCTAAGAGGAAGATCTGAGAAAGGAGTGCATTCCAGAGACAGGGATAGCACTTAAGGCAAGGAGACATGATCCCAAACTGAGTTTGTACCTTATCCTTCCATCAGGGTTCTGAACTTTTTTTGGGGGGGGTCATGGACCCCTTTGGCAGTCTGGCAAAGTCTACGAACCCATTCTCTGAATAACTGGAGAAAATACAAATTTTGAGTTAGAGTTTAGTGGAAATAAAGATGTACTGAGAAATAATTTTTTTTTTGAGCAGGGATGTGACCTGTGGCCAGATCTTGGTTTTAGGAATATTTATTTGGTAGCACTGTGGAGGATGCAATGGAGAAGGAATACTAGAAGCAGGAAGACTAGATTAAGAAGGTGTTGAAATAGTGCCTTGAATCTATCTTCTCATCATCTTCCATATTCAATTAGTTGTCAAGTCATGTCAATTCTACTTCGACAACATCAGCCTACAACTGAAGCATTGTGTTCAATTCCAGTTAACTCAGGCAGGCTATTGTAAACTGGAGAAGAGGGTAAACATAGAAGAGGGTAGCCAGGATGGTGAAGAGCCTTGAATCCATGTCATTAATAGCAGAGTTGAAGGAACTGTAGTTGTTTAACCTGGAGCACACATGATAGCTGTCTTCAAAGGCCACCACATAAAAGAGGGTTTTACATTTGTTATGCTTGGCACTGGGAGTGACAGGTAGATAAGGCAGATAGGCAAATTTAGCCTTCCTAAAAATCAGAGCTGTCCAAAGGTAGAATGTGGAAGCAACCTGGGTTCCCCTTCACCGGAGACAGTCAAGCAAAGAGCAGTCAAACATTTGCTGTGTACAGTACAACGGGAATTCTTGCTCAGGCATAACTTCTGGAGTCCGTCCATTCTAACTCACGTTTTGCCCATTCCTAAATCCCAATCCCCTCTCTCAGCCAAAGATCTTGTCCTCTTTACTGAGAAAATCTGGGTCATCCATCATGAGTTCCTTTTTATTCTCTACCCTGCCGCTTTAAAACCTCTCTACTATATAACCTAATACTTGCTCTTCTCCTAAGCTATTACCACTCTACTTGAGCCCTTGAACCCATCCCTCTCCTCCTCAGAAGCTCCTCTTGATCATCTCCCATCTTTACCCTCCTTCTGCTACCTACACATTCAAATCTCTCCCACACAAAGTAATAGTGGGTTGGAAAAAACTGTGAGGGCAGGCGAGATGAATGATTTCGGTATTTTCATTTTTCCACCTTGGAATAGTAAACCAGGTGCTAAAGGTTTCAGGTTAGTGCTTCCAGAAATCCAAGGACAAAGGTCCTTTGGCCAAAGGATTGATGGCCACTCCTAACAGAATAGATACAGAAATGGTCATTGACCCTTAGTAGAAATACATAAATAAGCTGGACTGGAGGACTGTAAGAACTGAGTGATTACAAATCTGCCTTTCAAGTTGTAAAAACACAATCTGTCAGGGAACCTGGAGATTGCCACAGATTAGGCTGTGTGCCTCACAAAGGTCTGGGCCCTCCACTCCAATATTAAGGAATGTGGAAGATGCCAGCGATTGGGCATTGTGGGAATGGTGGCAGCAGCCTAAGGCCAAGCAGTCACCATAACACCGTAATGGGTGGCTTTTGATTATTTTTTTCCCAGCCTATTTGGAACCTAAGAGACAAATTTCAATTTAGGGATTAGGTGGAGCAGGAAAAAAAAAACTGGTAAAGGTGATGAGTTGGAGAGGTTATTACCACTATGTTCTGTCAATGGTTTCAATGTTAAGCCCCAGACCTATGGAAACCTTAAATATCAAGTTTAGACCAATGGACAAGTATTCAGTTATGTTGGTTCTGCTATTATTGAAACACAGATTGAGTCATAATGTAGTAGACAGTAGTGGTCAAGACCAAATAAGAATTTCCAAGTCAAGGTTAACTTCCTTATTAGAGGATAGAGCTAAATACAGCCATTTTAGTGATGTCTGCAAGTGAACATGGCATGGAATAGGACATATCTACTCACAGGCATGGCAAATTCACTTGGGCTCCCTTGTCCTTACATGACAAATGTCAAAATGACGAATTTTCAAAATGTGGTAACTGAAGGCATTGGATATGATGAGGCAACAATAATGTTTTAAAGCAGTCAGTAGCTCAGAATATTCTGATTCCTTTTACAATGGCCAGATGGGTCACATACTACCAAATGTTAACATACAATTTCTGGCACAAACGACTGACTTACACACTCGCTTTCCTGTACCAAGGTACAAATTCTTTTTTCTTAGTGGAAATTTTTTTTAACCAAGTACAGTCCCTTTAAAAACTTCTCTTCCTGAAATTAAAACGTAGTTCATGAATTACTGACTGTGACTTGTGACAAGTATATAATGTGTCAAAAAGTGTATTAGGCTCCACAAAAAAGAAAAAAAATCTTTCAACTCACATAATTACATTCACCTCCAATTAACAGAACTTCCCCTCCTACAAACATCACCTCCTACTGCTCTATCATAAGGTCAATGTTGCTTAATCTAAGGGTTGTAATCTTGAGAAGATGTCAGGGTAGAATTCCAAGGACATCAGTGCTTCATCCTCAATCAAAATCTGGGCTTCTCCATCTAGAATGATATGATTGCTGATTGAACCAATAATCAGGGATTGTTTTTCTGGCACAGAGATTTCATATATAAGGACTCACCAATTATTACATGAAAAACCTAGAGGAGCCCTGCTAAATTAGGCTAAGACAAAAATAGCTAATGTACTTCAATAGTTATGGAGGATTTTATATTCCACATGAGGGCCCTAACAACTATGGGGGAAGACCTACAAGAATTCTTAATCTGGGTACTGGGTTATTCTTTATAAATATAAATATATACATATAGATATATAGATATATATGACTATTTCAATATACTCCCCTTTGTAGTCCTAAGTATTTTATTTAGTGCATTAAAAATATTACAAGATAATGGTTCATAGGCTTCATCAGACTGCCAAAGGGTTGCATGACACCCCAAAAGGTTAAGGACCCTCAGATCAGAGAACAGAATCTGTGCAGTTGGATTTCATAAACAATAAAAACACAGGATTCAAAAGTATCTTCCTATTCAAATACATAAAAAAGGACAATTACTTTCTGCTCTACATCTATGCAAAGAAATAAAAGAATGGGCTTTCAGTGAGAAAGGTTTTAGGTTAGATCAGCCAAGTTACTGGGTTCAAAATAAAATGGATCAACATTTGAAGATTAGGTGAGGCTGTGGAATTCATACAATCTGAATATAATTTACTACATAATTATACTGTGGCTTTCTAATATGTGATATTAGTGGAGTATTAAGAAATTGAAATAGTGCTAATGAAAATCTATAGGTCGATTAAAAAAAATTTTTTTAATACATCACAAAACTACTAAAAGAAAAGTCTGGGCTGACAACTAGAGGCCTTTATTAGTTAGTGTAATCTTTTCTCTGGGGAGTTTAAATGAACAAAGACCCAATCTGTTCAGAATTTAGATGTAGTTTAGGTGTAGTTTAAGGCTTATACTAGACCCTTTTAAGCTCTAAGATTTATAATAAAGAACCATCTCTGCAGTCAGCACAACAATAAACTGATGCTAATACAATAGAGACTGGGCAAGTGTGTGTGTGTGGGGGGGTCATCTAAATGAAGCTCATAATTTTTAACGAGAAAATATTATAAAGTTTAAGAGAAACATTTTAATTCCTGTAATGCTAAATTAAGATATAAACATTTGAGTTGGTTAAGGCCTGGAATATAATTTAATTTTGTCTTTTGAAATAAATCTTTATTTTATTCTGTTCATAGTTTCAAGACTTTAAATTACATTCTATCCTAAATCAATGTATTATAATGAATTAAATCCTAAAAGGTAAGTTTGTAAAACAACTTTTTTTTAAAAAACCCAATATTTTAGTTAACCATATTTATTTGACTTCTGGAGTGCTCAAACTACATTCAATCAACAGATGACTTCTAAAAATTTTACTAAACAAAAGGGAGAAAATAGATGAGTATACAAGTATGATAACAATTCTGATACACAGGAACAAAAAATGATTAAGTCAATGAATTCTGCAAATGAACAGTAGTAATAATTGTTGATTTTTTAACTAATAAAAGGGTACAAACTGGTATTGATGCTAACATTTTGAGAGAAAAGCATAGTAATAAACAGATAAAAACTGCACAAATCACAAAGATATAGCTTTGTAGAAATAAAAAAATTGAAGGAAAACTTTTTAAAAAATACAAACATCATTCAATGTGGACTAGATAATGTTAACTAGGAAACCCATTTTCCTATGAAATTAGCTGTGGAAATCCAAACTCAGTTTTTAAGGTAACATTCACAAACTGAAAATACTGTTTGTTTTAAAAGTGAATATGTCACCCAAAGTAAAGGGTACCAAGAACATCCTTTCAAATTATATTTTGGCAAAAAAATCTTTAGATAAGGACATGGAGAATCCAGCAATACACAGCAGCATTTGTTCTCTATGTCTGCACATAAAAAAGTATTCAGCAATGACGCTGGAGAAGGGGAGAGAAGGAGGAGGGCAGAGGACACAAATGTAACAAAAGTAATAAAAAAATACTGATATCGAAGTGTCAACTGAATAAAAAAAAGTAAACAAATCTAGTTTAAATTTTAGACAAGACACATTAAATCTAGTTCATTTTTAGACAGGACATCTGTGTTTAATACTTAAAGGTAGATTGAGTACAGATGAATCCATACCCTACTGCTTTTTGAGTCCAACATAAGACAAAAATTTATCTGCTGAATGTTTTTGAACACTTCTTTAAAATACTGTGTATAGTCGGATTCTAAGTGGGTCTGATATGTTACTTGTTTCAAAAGATTATTAAAATTATATATAAATTTTAAAACTTCAAATGTGGAATTCTCTGTACAGTCAGACCTCCTGTGTAATTCTTGTCTTTAACATTTTAATATATCCTTTAAAACTATACAGAGCAAACATCCAGTAAACAGTATTTTATTTTATGACACTCTGTTAATACAATAAATATACAAAACTTTCAAACTACTCAAAACATGCAACATTAGAGGGACAGATGAGAAGGGCATTTATATAGAACCAAGACAGTCACCATGATAGCAAAGCATTATTAGTCATTTACAAAATATACAAACATCCCTTAGATAAATAATCCAAATCCTAAATTACAGACTACTAAGCCATGACTTCCAGTGTTCAAACTTTACTGTGAAATAAATTAGCCACAATTTATTACCAGAAAACAAAAATTGTATGGGTGTAATTGTCGTAAAATTGCTCTGTGACTGGAACACCTGGAAATTTTAGGGTAAAGTATAAAACATTTTAACAAACAGCCTCTGTTTTCAAAGTGAACACATGAATATTTTCTATTACTGACCAGAGAAAAGTAATTCCTTTAAGGAGTTATGATTTAAAGCCCCTTTCACACGTGACTATGGACATTACACCATTATTTCAATGCAAATTTGCTTTTTAAAAACAGATACAATTGTTGACACAAATTTGTAACAAGAGTATCCAAACTCTATTCCAAAACACTTCCCCACCCTCCCCCACACAAAAGAAGGATCCTTGGATTTTATGAATGTATGGATTTTACTACACTAGTAATGCTAATTTTTAACATCGCCCTTAAGGGGATGTAAAAATATTTCCGTTGGAAGGAAACAATGATTGATCTAATCTCCTTTAAAAATTTTAAATGTCCTCCCCGAAACAAAACTTTCATGTGTGGTGTAAGGAAAAACCAAAATAAATTTGGAATATGAGTTGGTGACTAAGAATAAATGGTCTTGTGACATTTAGTAGTCGATGTTTTCACCAATGTAAAATTGTTACAATAAAAGAAATCATTAAATATCGTGATACCTCTCAGCAGCAGGAACAAATGATCTGAAAGATTTCATTTGCAGTGCTTACTTTGTAAGTTGTGCAGGAATTATTACTGAAGGAAATTATTTATGGAAAAATAGCTTTGAACTTTATAACAGGAATTAGATTTTCCTACGGATAATGTAGAAATGTATTCCAAGTATACAAATTCATCATAGTCCCAACTGAATTCAACAGAAAGTCCTTTGACTGGATCCACATTACTTGGCCAAATTATTTATACAACGATTCTTATAATCAGTCAGGTCGCTAAGCATATCCAGCATCTTATTTAACTTTGTAACATAGAAAGGGGGGGGGGGGATCTTTTTAAAGTATTTACTCATTGGTGTTGACTTGAATTTTTAAAAAATAAGGCTTTGCATTATGCTCCCTACATATAAACCTCCTTAAAATCAGGTTAATCTCTGCTGTTCTCTATAAATGTATTATTTCTCCTTAAAAACTGCTCAAGGACCTCCACAACTTTTTAAAAAGCTGACTCGGGAAGGTATGAAGCCAAATGTATTATATCATGAGACTTCTGTGCAGCATGGAGGCAAGTGAGTAGTATAACCTACACAATGAATACACTTATCTTTATTTTCAGTTCCTTTCTCAATATACGCTGAATATTTAAATGTTTTAATTTTACTACTGACTTCCACTTGGAAGTAGTCTTGCTATTTGCAGAATTTAAACAATTCACTTGATTTGTCTCAAACCCCAAAGACTGAAGTGCAATAAAAGGAATTCAAGTATGTGTGAAGCATCAGTTTAAAAAATCATTATCAGTGACAATAACAGAAGAAAAATAAGTTAAAACACTGTATATTTCTATTTGGGGACCAAGGGCAACCTGACTTGTAAAGGTAAGAAAGTTAAGTACCAATGTTAAAATTATAATTTTCATTGTTAAAACACAAATTAGACACGTAAACATAAGTCCTAAATACAACCAAAATTTCACTCCAAGTAGTAGAAAAGACTAACCAGAAGAGTATGTCAAGAAATAAGAAAGCATCTTTTCTTTAATAGTATTTTCTCTAAGACATGAATACTGAAATTTTTTTTTAAAAGAGCACATATAATTACTTAATTCTACTCCATCGGTTATCTTTTAACTCAACTGCATGTTGCATTGCATATTCTACTGTTAGAATATCTGAGCCCCCAAATCAACTTTTATTTATGAGCATAACACTCTATTTAAAACATTTCTATGATTGCAAAAATACTCCACCAAATCCTGTAACCATAAATGGTACAGATGAATTCTGAACCAAAACACTAATTTATTAAAATTTAAATAACTCAACAGTGTTCATGCAAGCTTACAAGTTGATATCAAAAGAACTAGTACTCTAAAAATAAAATAAAAAATAAAATGAAATTTACATCAGCTTGTATTGAATGCACACAGGCCCATCATCAATTTCTAAAGCTTCCCCACCAGCAAGCCAAAATGAAATTCCCAAACTCACAGCGTACCCTAGTTCTTTCTGTACAAACATGGAGATGGGAATGAAGAATCAATGCACTTGCTCCTAAATGTCCCTCATCTCTCTCAAAGATTCCCCAAAGAATTACTGCAGCTAAACCCGAAATGTATTTTTAATCATAATGAAGTACCATATTAATTTCAGTGTTCCATCACTGAAATAAGTCATTGAAACATTCATCCCCCAGAAAATATGGAGAATATTTATTTAGCATACAATATAATCTTTTTCTTTGCAAGGAGCACTGAAATATCGTTCAAAGAAAAAAAACCATTAAAGATTAAACAAAGAACTTCTCCTGGTCTTTGCCCATGCACAGGTGAACAGGAAACATACATGCTGTAGATAGTGTGTATTTCGAACATAAAAATCTTCATAGAATAATACAGTAACTTGAGAAAAAGTAGAGTCAAAAGGTCAGAGGGCGCTGTTGTCTGGAGACTGCTCTACATCTGGTTACCCTTGAACGCACTCTGGGCTGCAGTCGTTGCTGCTGTTGAAGCTGCGTTGGCGGCTGCTGTCTGTACGGTTTTATTAGACATCACGCCTGTTGCAAATTCTTGCTGCGCCTTCTCAAAACTAGCACCTGTTGTACGGTATAGTCCATGCACCTATGGAGGCAAAAGAGAAGGCAAATGAGAAAAACAGCAAAGTCCCAAATGTTCTGGTGAGCTACAGACACACAAAATTTTAGGCAGCTCAGAGAGAAGAATCTCAAAAGTGCTTAGAAGGACTGGATTCTTGTTGGGCTTATCCGTTATATTTTACTGATTAAAAAGACTTAATCTACGAAGGAACAAATGGTCAAGAAGCTCAAGGGAAATAATGAAACAAGTGGATGGAAAGCAGTCTAGCAATACCAAATCTCAAACTATACTACAAAACAGGAATCATCAAAATGATGAGACTTTTCAAAAAGAGAGACTGATCAGTGAAACAGATTAGGTAAACAATATGCAGAAGCAAATAAGTACAGTAGCATAATGCTTGAGAAACCCAAAGACTTCAGTTACTGGCAAGGAAGGACTGATTATTGGACAAGAACTGCCAGGAAAACTGGAAAGCAGTCTGGGAGGAATGAGGCATCAGCCAACATCTCAAACCATATACCAAAACTAAGCTCCAAACCAATACATCTTAGAAATAAACAGAGAAATAATAAAGAAGTATGGAAGAAGTTGCAAACAAAGACGACAACAACAACAACAACAAAAAATCATTTATTACTTACCATGGGCAATGTACTATGCTAAGGCTGAGGGATAGAAAACTAATACCCAAACAATCCCTGCCCTCAAAGAGCTTGCACTCTACTGAGGAGGTGGGAGAATACAGCACGAACACAGTATGTATAAAAATTTTCAAGACGGAGGGAGTATTAATAATTTGTGATAGATCAGAGAAGACCTTATGTAGGAGATGGCACTAAGTTGTGCTTTGAAAGAAACCAGGAATTCTCTGGGTTAGAGACAATGAAATGTTACAGAGATGAGGAACCAGCTGTGCAAAGTCACTAGTCGGGATGGAATGTTAAGATACAAAGAATAGATATCAAGCTATTTGACCATTTGGGCTGGAATAAAGAGTGTGTGACAGGGAATAATACAAAGGAAGCCTGGAAAGATAGGTGGGAGCCATAATATGATTGTCTTCCAGTCTTCTTCCATCTTATTCTCTGACACATTACCCTCTGATCCAGTGACACTGGCTTCCTGGTGGTTTCCAGAACAAGACATTCCATCTCTAGGCTCCAGGCATTCTCATGTGTTCGAATAAGGGAACAGATTTAAATGCTAGACTAAGGGTTTTGTATTTTTAATAAATGGATCTGAGGATCATCTGTAGAGAGATAACTGTACTCATGGGATTGACTGAGCCACCAAAAGAGATATTATAGAAGGAAAAGAGGGCCCACAACAGAGCTACAGAGGACACCCATGGTTAGTGAGGGTGACAAGAACCTGAATGTTCAGTGCCTAACACAAAATAGGAGCTTAATAATACTGGTTGACTGAATTAGGGTAGAGGCCATGTGCCTGGAGAGAAGGTCTGAGAGATGTTATTGATGTAGAATTGACAAAATTTAGCAAATGATAACATATTTCTTCTGAAAAAAAGTCTTCATTTCTACACGCAACAAAACATCATTAAATGAAATGCAAACATTTAAACAGAAGGAAAAGAAATTTGTTTTTCATGGCAATATTTGTAAGCCAATGTCACATGCTTATTCCAAGGGCCAAACCACTTTGAAAAATTCTATGTTTTTAAAAATCAATTTTATGACATTATTAAAGTTCTATTTATCTTTCTTGGATTAAAATGATTTATGCTTCTAACCAAAATAAAACAACAACAACAACAAAAGAAAAAGAAATTGCCTTTCAGATCTATAGATAGGGAAAGACTTCACTGGCAAACAAGGGGGAAAAACAATCACAAAAGAAAAACTGGATAATTTTGATTATATAAAACAAAAGGTTTTATATAAATAAAACTAACACAGCTAACATTAGAAAGACTTAAGAACTCTGATCATCCAAAGTGACCAGTCAGGATTCCACAGGATTGATCATGAAGAATATTATCTACTTCCTGATGAGGAGGTCATGGACTATAAATGTCTTTTGATTCGTGAATAAACTGGATGATGGGCTACATAAATATACAGAATAAGACATGCACTTTTTTTTTTAACATGAACATCATGGGAATCTATTTTGCTTGACTATGCATATTAGTTACAAAGACTTTTTCTTTTCTTCTAAATGACATATGGAGTGGGAGGGAAAGAAAATACACTGTTAAATGAAAAAAATTTAAATGCTAAAATAAAACATTGGTTAAAATGCACATTAAGAAAATATTAAGCTATCAATAACACCTGAAAATTGTCTAAAATCACTAATAATCACAAAAGTACAAATTGAAACAATCTTGAGCTAACACCTCATTTCCATCATACTAGAAGATAAGAAAACTCACTGATCAAAAGGCTGTGCAAAGATAGTGGAACTGTAAAATGGTTTAACTGTTTTGGAAAATAATTCGGAATTATGCAACAAAAAATTACTAAGCTGTTCAAACTCTTTGGCCAGAGATTCCACTACTGTGACTATATCCCAAGAAGACTATTAAAATGTTCACAGCATCATTATTTGTGATAAGATGCTGGCTACAAAATATATACCGAATGACTGGGGAAGACAGTTTAACCAATTATGGAATCTGATGTACTTTAAGGAATGACAAATATGATGAATTCAGAGAACCACAGATATAGAATGAAAAAAGCAAAGCCAAAAAAATAACATTCATGATGATTAAAACAATACAAAGTCAAGGAAGTAACAAACTGACGGAAAAATACAGCAATCAAAACTAGAACCATGAATGATACCAAACTAAGGGGAAAAAACCTAACTTCAGTTAATAATCAATAATCTGTGATTGTATTTTAGAAGGTTCTTTTGAATATCTGACAGGAAGTATCAGCTGTATCAAAACAAAATGTTAATATTTTAAGGCACAGTAGGACACTTTGAGCTGTCATTAAGGCAGTAGTACTCAAAGTGAGTCTCTACATATGAGTGATTATCAAGTCTAACCCCAGCTTTCTAACATTCTAAAGTTTTCCCAACTTTCTGTAAGTCTATCGTACAAACTTTATACCATTATTAATTTTACCTTACTTTAATTTAAAAAATAAATATAACTCACATAGCACTTTCAGCTTATGATAGAAAAGGATGTAATAACACAAAATGCAGTTCTCAAAGGGACATAGGTTCCTTGATAGACTAGTAACCTAATGATGAGCCTGACCCCTGGTGGATACAACTAATGGCTAACAACATATGGATCTTAAGGGACTGAAAAACAGCCAGCTCTGAGGTGTGGAGAAAAAGGTAAGAAAGAAAAGTAATAACCATACAATACCTATCTATAATTATTCTCACAAAATTCCATCTCAGACTTCAGTATGTCTAAAACAGAACTCGTATTTCCTCTGAAACCTGCTTCCTCTGCCTCTGTGCCAATATCACTTCCATTCTAAGTCTGCAGCAGGCCCTCTTCCTTGGTTCTTCCAATAATCAGTTCATTATCAGGTTCTGCTGATGCTCTCTCAGCAACTCTAGCATTTATCTCCTCCTTTCTTTTCTTATTTCCATCACCTTGATTCAGACCATCATTCTCTCTTGCGTCTGTTACAATAGCTTTGAAATGACCAGCCGGCTGCCAGTCTCTCTCCACTTCAATTCATCCCACATACAACTCCCAAAACGTATCCTTTTATTGCATAAGAAAGATTATGGATCAGACAAACTACACCTCAGAGTACTGAAAGAACATACAGATGTAAATTCTAAGCCACTTTGGCAACTTTTGAAAAAATCATGTAGCATATGAAAGGTGCCATAGGACTGGAGATGGGCAAATGTTCTAATTTTTAAAAAAGAAAAGGGGAACTCATCAAACTATTGGCTAAGACACTTCAACTTTAGTCCTTAGCAAAAACTCTACAACAAATTATGGAAGGGACGGGTTTGTGAACACTTAGAAAGGAAAGTGATCATTGCTATGAGCCAGCAAGGGTTGAAAAAACCATCACATATCACATTAAACTCATTTCTTCTTTAATTGCTATTAATTATAAGAGCAGTAACAATAGTAGCTAGCTACAGTTGTAGAATTTTTTATATACAAGAAAAGAACTTTACACAGAAGAAATACCTCATTTGATCCTCGAAACAACCCTGTGGGATAAATAAAGCTATTATCTCTATTTTATGGATAAGGAAACAGGTTCAGAGGTTATGTGACTTGCCCACAGTCACACAGTTAATAGGGTCAAAGGCAGAATTCAAGCCCCGGTCTCTCAGTCCAAGAGGTTTTTTTCCACTAGGCCATGCTTCTCCTTGCAGGATTATTCAACCAGCGTATCAGAAAAACGCAATCAAATACCTTGAAGATAGACAACACACGCAACCAATGCCTTCATGGGATCTGGACAAGACAGAGAAGAGGGCAGGACCATAGTTTCTGCTTTCAAGCACTTGAAGTGCCGTCATGGAGAAGGGAAACTTCAGACTTACTTTAATTGGCCCAAGGGGCAGAACCAGGGTCAACAGGTAAAGTTGAAGGGATGCAGATTTCAGATTAATATAAAGAAACACTTCCTAACCAGACCCATCCAAAAGGTTAATACATTTCACTAGAGGGACTTCGAGTGAAAGCTGAACAACCATTTATCATGGATGTTACAGACAGAATTTCCTTTCTGGCACAGGTCATCTCATTCAACCTTCAAAGTCCCTTTCAATACTCTTTGGAGGCAGCATGACACAGTAGATAAAGGTGAAGTGCTTAGGAATCAGGAGACCTGCTTTTGAATCTCGTATCAGAAAATTACTAGCTGTGATGTGATCATGGGCAAGTTACAACCTCTCCAAGTCTTTGTCTCCTGATAGAAAAAGGAGAATAACACTGGTACCACACCTCATACAGTTGCTGTGAGGAAAGTGCTTTGGCAAAACTTAAAGTGCTACATAAATGGTTAGAGTTACTATTCCAACTCTGAAATCTTATGATGATTATCTATGCTAAATATGTACCTTATTGACATGAGATCATTTCTAAACCTTGATGAAGCAGCAATCACTAAAAAGAGACGAAGCCTTCATGAAAGAGTGGAATTTGAGTTGGGTCTCTGAACTGGACAAATGGGGGTGGGAGGAGAAAAGGCTGCATTATAGGAAGAAGCCACGGCAAGAACAAATTTATGGAGAGAGAAAATGGATTTTTCTAACTTCGGTTTTTAAAAGTAGGAACAATACCCATATACCAAAGAGGCTTTCCTAATATTTGTTCACTGTCCCAATGTTTCAAATAAAAAAGCTAACATGTGCAGGGCAGCTAGATGAAGCAGTAGACAGAGCACCGGCCCTGGAATCAGGAGGACCTTAGTTCAAATCCTCAGACCAAACACTTGACACTTACCAGCTGTGTGACCCTGGGCAAGTCACTTAACTCCAACTGTCCTCCAAAAAAAAGCTAACATGTGGCTCAATTTTTAAAAATTCCAACGTACAAAATGCCAAAGTGAAAAAACAAAAAATCAGCCAGTGGTTTTTTGCCTTATAAGTGAATGCATAATAAATTTCCCATAAATAACAAGTTACTACCATGATATATTTATTCACAAATAACCTTTTCATTACAGAAAATAATTCAAAAGCAGAATAATTTCTTCCAAATAATTCGGACCAGGGATGGACAACATATAGCAAGGACGTCAGGTCGCCACACTAAATGTGTGACCTTAGGCCTATCATTTAACCTTTCTGGCCTCATTTTCCTCAGCTACAAAATGAGAGGCATGAACAAGGCGGCTTGTGAGGTTCCTTCCAGGTGCACACATACTATCCTAGCTGCCATTACTTGGCAGTCCAACAGCAGCCTTTGAAAATCACCATGAAGGAGGGGTGGGAGGAGCAGGAGGCAGGGCTCATACTAGAGCAGAACAAAAGAGTCTCTCTTTTTCCTCCAATCTGAACATAAAGGAAGGCAGTAATAAAATGTGGCTCCCTGGGCTCTAATATTGCCCCAGAAAACAGAGGTCAGCCCGGTACATCAGGCTAGATTCCACTGTTTAATGAGGGTAGGTGGATGAGGAGCTGACACAGCTCAATGTGCTGCCTACCAAGTTAAGTACAAAAAGTGAAAGAACAGTTCAATATACAAATCTAAAGTGATAGGACTCATCTTACCTTTTTAAACATAACTAGAGAGATGACTGCAGATGCTGTGAAAAGTGCTGCTATGACCATCATCATGATTCCAACAGGAATACTTTTGTTGAGGCCAGTTAAGGATGAAATCCAACCACTGAGTTGTACCAAAAAAGACAAGAGAAACAGACATTTAAGTTAATACAAGCGAACACTTCAATACTGGTAAATGCCTCATTTTTCAAAAAAAACATGGATCGTTTAAGATTTCTCTAAAATACATCTGATCTCCTCTGACCCAGCAATAGCACTTCTAGGGCTGTATCCCAAAGAGATCATACAAATGGGAAAAGGACCCACACGTACACAAATATTTATAGCAGCTCTTTTTGTGGTGACCAAGAACTGGAAATTGAGGGAATACCCATCAGCTGCAGAACAGCTGAACAAGTTATGGTATATGAAATGTAATGGGATACTATTGTGCTATAAGAAATGATGAGTAGGCAGACTTCAGAAAAACCTGGGAAGACTTGTATGGTCTGATGCTGAGTGAAGTGAGCAGAACCAGGAGAACATTGTACACAGTAACAGCTACCATGTGCGATGACTAACTTTGATAGACTCATCTCCTCTCAGCAACACAAGGATACAAGACAATTCTAAAGGACTCATGATGGAAAATGCTATCCACATCCAGAAAAAGAAATATGGAGTTGAATGCAGATCAAAGCAGATTATTTGATCTTTCTTTGTTTCTTCTTTCTCGTAGTTTCTCCCATTGGTTCTAATTCTTCTTTACAACATGACCAATTTGAAAATAGGTTCAATATTAATGTATATGAAGAGCCTATATCAGACTGCATGCCTTCTTGGGGTGGTGTGAGGGCAGAGATGGGGAGAAAATTTGGAACTCAAAGTCTTATGGAAGTGACCATTAAAAATTAAAAATAAAGTTTTAACAAATACATCCGATCTGTTTTGTATGGATCATGCTACATGTTTTGTATCTAAATGTTAATAATAATAATTATATCAAATGTGTTAAAATGTTCATAAAACTTTTTTTCTAAGATACTCCTATGCCTAAATACTTCAAAAGATATGTACCTGCAACACAGATCTCACTAAAGTGAGAATTTCTTCCATTGCTATAATCACAATCTCTGTGTGCCTTCACCTATTTGTGTCAAACTCAAATAGAAATAGGGGCCACTAAACCACACAAAAGGATCCCTGCTGGTGACATATTGACTTAGTTTTAAAATGTAATGTTATCTGTGTTTTTTTTTTATTGTGTTAAATAGCACCCAATTACATTTTAATGAATGTTGTGGGCCGCAGTTCCCACCCACAGAGAGCGTCTGACATCTCTGCCTTAGTTGATTGTTTTTCATGAATTGTTACGTCCAAAAACCTCCTCAATTGATGGACAGTATTTTGGTAATAATCCACTCTAGACAAACACACAGAGTTGCTCACTGAGCCCAAACTCAAAACCTTCATAAGAAATATAAGAAAAAGCACCTCCAAAAGTTTCTCTTCATGAACTAACAAGTCATACCACTGGCACTGCCTTTGAAAAGCTCAGGTCACTTCCAAGCCAACATGAGGCACTGGAGGAGGACTTGAGTGGCACAAGATAGTGTTTTAATGTGAGGGAAGGTGCTTCTGTTACATGAAAATAATGAGAAATCTCTGGGTTGTTAAGGATTTCCTAATAGTACATTTAGCCAAAAATTACTTTATGGTTAAATTTATTTAAAATTTCCTTTTCCTCAATGACAAATGACCAGGTTCTACTTAGAATGAAGTTTTTAAAAAGATTTAAGGAGTTTCTGCAACAGTTGATAAAAGATAACTTCATGTGCACAGAAGAGAACAAAATAAAACCTACATGGAAGCAAAAAAAAAAAGATGGACAGCTCAGAATATACAAAGTTAGTATTTATTATGTAGGCTTTCTTGAAATGGAAATTTATTGTTATATAATTTGAATCCTCTCATGTTCTGCTGTGCGCATGGCAATGCTTTTTCTTTTCTTATTTTCTATTTAAGTTTCAGTATTAAAGTTTAAAATAAATTAATAAAAGATAACTTCACATATAAATTACCACAAATTCAAGTACAAAAATATGGTTACAGGTAAGCATATGTTTTAGAAAATACTTTTAGAAAATAAAGGAAAATATTTTCAAGGTAATCGGACCTGCTGCCATGAAGAAAAAAACATCACGATGAGTCTTGCCACAGAAAGGGCTACTGAACAGTTACATAAGCCAAACTGCTAGGTTGATTTCATTCACTTAACCAACATTTATTGAACACCTAATTATTTAAGTTCTATTCACTTAATCACAGGCACAGGAACTTTTCTAACAACTGTTAATGCCAAATATCCTAACACCTGAGGTTAAAATCTGCACTCTAAAGTCAGTTACTATTTGGGGGGGGGGGAGACAATAGATGATATAACATATGACATGTTACACCAGCAGCATTATTATTATGTGCCCCCTAGAAAGCAAAATAATTTACACCCATGACAAATGCTAAGAAGGGAATTTCTGTATTTTTAGTAATACTCTAATTTCATATTTGATAATCAGATAAAAAGCACTTCTCTTAGATTATGACATCACTAACATCTGCATGGTGTATTCAATTCTCAAATGAGTGTATTAATAAAGGGGCACTAATAATTTTTAAGATTTTTTTTACTGTAGACTGCATATAGTTAAGTTTTAATAAATGAAGGATTACTCTAAATCTGACCCTGCAAATTATAATGTTATGTCATGTCCTCACCCTGACCCCTGCTCAATCCTCCCTATAATTATCTGCTGTATTCTAAAGAGATCCCTTCACACTAATTCAGAAAGAGAAGCCTAAGCAGAGATCCCCTTCTTCCAGCTTCAGCCTGCCTACCCCTAAAGCAGTGGGTAGTTCCACTTCAAGGTGCTCTGACTTCCCTCTCCAAAGTCACCCTAAGGCTTGGCCATGATAACTCTACACTGGCCTAATGAATCCCTCATGCATCTCTGTTCTATCTCTATCCTTCTCTTGCCAAATCTCAGCCTAGATTATTCCCACCATTCACCTCCTCCACCACTACTCAGGAGCTGTGGAATAAAGTAGTAAAAGGAGCCTCATGTGCTGACTGGATACTTAACAAATTGTTATTCAATATCAACTGGGCTCTGTCACAATGCAGTCCTATTTGATTCCCTCATCTCACCCCTTTTCCCTCAAGCCCTCTACTCCTACTCTCTCAGGTGAGGACCTTCCCTCTTACTTTAAGGGAAAAATTGAGGCTGTTCAAATGAACTCCATCTTCTCCCATTCTCCTTCATCTTAAAAGCCACTGATACTTTTTCCTTTCCCCCAGTCTCTGACAAAGAGACATCCTTATTATCCTTCCCATTAACAATCGCCCTTCTCTCTCCTGAATCTTCAACCTCTCCTTATCAACTGGTTTATTAACTATTGTCTTCAAACATTCCAAAGTGTCCCTAGCCTCAAAAAACCTTCACTAGATGCTACCACACCCCCCCCAAGCTACTGTCCTAGATCTCCTTTCCCTTTCTCAAACTGAACTGAAAAAACTGTCTACACTCACTGCCTCTACCTCCTTCTCCTCTCATTCACCCCCCAATCCTTCCTAATTTTAGCATCTGAGTCCATCATTCTACTGAAATTATTCTCCTCGAAGTTACCAGTGATCTTTCTTTAAAAACAGATTTTTCTCGATAATCTGTTTCTTGATAATATCTTTCTTGATAGCTTTTGGGAAATCATCCAGATTTGCCCCTGCATTACTTTATCTGTACCTTCTTAGGAATCATCCAGAATTTAAAAAGAAAAAGAGAAAAAAAAATTCAGCACAACTGATCAATAAATAGAAAAAAAACCAGGACATTCTATACAACGTGCCACACTCATGGGCTTCCCAACCCTGCTCCTTTGCAAAACAAGTTGGCTTACAGTTGTTGTTCTTTCCATTTACATCACTGTTGTCACTGTGGTCATTGTGGTCACTGTGTATTTAGTTTTCCTGGCTTTACTTTGCATTTTGTATAAGTTCATTCATGTTTCCATGCTCCTCTGTATTTTCTCCTCTTCATCATTTCTCATACCACAGTAATATTCTATTACATTTATGTACCACCCTTCATTTAGCCATTCTCCAATAAATGTATACATGCTTTGTTACCAGGTTTTTGCTACAAAAATTTTGGCAGACATGGAGCCTTTTTGTCAATACCCCCCTGAGGGTACATGCCCAAGAGTGGAATCTTTTGGTCAATGGATATGGGTAGGTAACTTTATTTGCATAATTCCAAATTACTTTCAAGAATGGGTGTGCCAAGTCACAATTTTATCAACAATGCAATCATGTGCCTGCCCTTCCACAATCCCTCCAGCAATAACTATTCCATTATCTAGGTCACCATTCTGCATCTGGTACAAAAGATCACTAAGAGCTGAGTTTAAGTGGAAAGTATTTTTACTAAAAATATATTCCAATACCCCAATGCCCTCACTTAGAAGCAGATCCCATGGCAAATAAAAGCAATTCAAGAAGATAAAAACAAATAAAATAAAAGCTGCCCACAAGGAGGTTCTTCCAGGTCCGAGGATCTGCCAAACAAAAACCTAAAAATTGCTTTTATACTCTTCTAGCACAAAAGCATGCATGACTGGGTCCTAGATCAATCTAATCCCAAACTCCCCCAGGTTTATATCACAACTTCCTTGCTTACAACAGTCCTGGGGAAGTGTGGAGGTCAGGAATTAACTTATGCTTACTCAAGGGCAGCTAGGGGGCGCAGTAGACAGAGCACTGGCCCTGGATTCAGGAGGACCTGCCTTCAAATCCAGCCTCAGACACATAGCACTTACTAGCTGTGTGACTCTGGGCAAGTCACTTAACCCTAACATAAAGAAAAACAAAAAACAAACAAACAAACAAAAAAACACCAAACTTATGATTACTTATCACCACCAGTATCCTAGCCCATAACATTCACCTTTTGTCATCTTTGCCAGTTTGCTGGGTATGAAGTATTAGGGTCATGTTTTATTTTGATTTCTCTTAATATTAGTGACTCGGAATATTCTTTCAAATGGTTAGCAAGTCAATGAACATATGTTAAGCACTTATATGCATGTGCCAGGAGTCAAATGCTAGGGATAGAAAAAGAGGGAAAAAAACAGTCCCTACCCTCCAGGAACTCATGGTCTCACAGGGGAGACAACAGACAAATATGTACAAACAATACAGTTAGTAACAGTTTGCAATTCCTTTTTTTTTTTTTTTGCAAGGCAATTGGGGTTATGTGACTTGCCCAGAGTCACACAGCTAGTGAGTGTTATATGTGTTGAAGCTGGATTTGAACTCAGGTCCTCTTGACTCCAAGGCCAGAGCTCTATCCACTGTGCCACCTCACTGCCCCGCAATTCCTTTTTTTGAGAACAATTTGTTCATATCCTTTGACCACTTACATACCAATAATCTCTTCTTGCCTGTCAGATCTAATGGTCTTTTCTCACTCCTCATGCTTCTCAGCCTCTCTGCTACACTGCCCACCGCTCCTCCGAGGCTGGCCCCGCTCTTCTCAGACTCTTGTGACGCTGCTCTTCCCTGACGTGCTGCCTATGTGCCTGGCTGTTCCTCTTCAGTCTCCTTTGCTGGCACACTGCACGCATCATATTCCCTAAGGCTCTGTCCTGAGCCCTCTTTGCCTATCTCTCTCACACTCTCGCTCTCAGTAACCTCTTTAATCCCCATGGGTTAACATGTCTAAGCAGATGACTCCAAGATCTACAGCCCCAGCCCCATTTCTCCTTTGAGCTTCTATCACACATCGCCACTGGCCTACTAGACATTTCAAAATGGGTACCCCAGAGATACCTTAAACTCCAAATGTATAAAACTGAACTCATCATCTTTCTCCCCTAAACTCTCCCCTTTTCCAAACTTCCCTATCCCTGTCAAAGGCCTCACAATCGTCTGGAGTCTGAAGTTCATCACTTCAGCATTATCTTGGACTCACTGTTCTCCCTCACTCCATATATCCAATCAGTTGTTAATCTTTGCCATTTCTACCTTCACAATCTCTCTTACATCCCACTTACTTCCATTTACACAGCTATACAACCTGTGTTCAGGTCTTCATCACCTCTTACCTAGATTACTAAAATAGACTCTTAAATTGGTCTTCCTGCCTCAGAACTCTCCCCAATCTATCTTACACACTGCTGCCAAAGTAATTTTCCTCAAGTGCTAATATGATCATATGACAGCCCTTTAAAATACTTGACAGCTGTCTTCAAGCACCTTAAAGGGCTGTCCTATGGAAGAGGCTTTAGACTTGTTTTTTGCTGTTACTGCGTCATTTCAGTAAGGTCTGATTCTCATGACCCCATGTGGGGTGTTCTTGGCAGAGATACTGGAGTGGGTTGCCATTTCCTTCTCCAGATCATTTTACAGATAAGGAAAATGAAGGAACCAGGGTGAAGAGGCTTGCCAGGGGTCACACAGCTAGGAAGTGTCTGAGGCTGGATTTGAATTCATGAAGATTCCTAACCCCAGTCTGCCCTTTAGACTTGTTTTGCTTGGCCCCAGAGCAACAATGGATGGAAGTTACAGAGAAGCAGAATCACAGAAGTTCAACTTTGGAAAGACCTCAAAAACAATCCGTTTGGGGGCAGACAGCTCTCCTTCACGAGAAATCTTTAAACAATGGCTAGGTGGTCATTTGGGGCTGTTTAGAGGGGATGCTTATTTATGTACAGGTCAGAAGAGATGGTGGCTAAGAGATCTTTTTCAATTCTGTGATATCATCTTTCCCATGGTAGTAATAATTTTTCTGGCATGAAGTTCAGAGAGTAGGTGTAGACACATGGGCACAAGTAATATGCTAATTTCTAGGAATCCACACTTACACAAGAGAAGATGCTTCTTCCCTTAATCACTAACTCTCCAAGCCATCTCAACTGGCATAAAAAGGACAGCTGGGCACATAGAGCAGAAATGTTCAGGTCATTCATTATACGTTGATCAAGCAGGGACTATGTATATTGTACCTACACTGTACTCACAAATGGAGCATGCATCAGCCCTGAAGTAGACAAGATATGAACTTTTCTGTATTGCATCAAACCATAACAAATAACTGAACTTACATAACCTGTGTTGAGGAAAAAATCTTTCATCTTTTTTTACTTACTCAAAAGAAACACAAAAGATAATGAAGCATAGCTAGACTTGAAGTCCCCAAAACCTGTCTTCGACCACATCAAGCTGCTTACCCTCTCAGGAGAGGGAAGGGACAGAGGAAGGAAGAGAATTTGGATCTCAAAATTTTTTTAAAATGAATGTTAAAAATTATTTTTAGAGGGCAGCTAGATGGCGCAGTGGGTAGAACACCACCCATGGGGTCAGGAGGACCTCAGTTCAAATCTAGCCTCAGATACTTACTAGCTGTGTAACTTCGGGCAAGTCATTTAACTCGAATTGCTCCCCTCCCAATTGTTTTTACGTGTAATTAGGGAAAATTTTTTAAAATTTAAAAAAGAAAGAAAAAAATGGGTTTAAGTTCCATATGATAGGACTACTACCTAACCCTACATGATTAGACAAGTTTTTCCTTGAAAGGTGACAAAACTGTCTTTAATCCTGCTTAGTTGTCACGCCGGGGGCGTGTGGCCAGCCCACTAAGGCTCAAACTGGCCCTTGCAATTCTTTCCTAATACCTGTGACCATACTGAAGTGGCTTCCTGTTTACCTATGGGCCTTTTGAAAAGGCCTTCTACATGGAATTGGGACCCTTCAGACTTGGCAGGTATACCAATACCATTTGAGCTACCACCATGTATGTGACCAGACACATTTCCAAACAAAGGTGACAGGGCCCTGGTTTACCTAAGCTAAGTGCTGCTGTAATCCTACTGAATATCTTTTCTACATTATGACTAAATAAATCTCTTTTTGTTATCTGTTGAATGATGAAATGAGTGCCTCATTCCAACACCAAACCTAAACTAACAAGGTAAAGGCATGAAGCAGGCCCACCCATTATACCCCACCCTACATACCGGACACATACCTGTGTCCTTGGGGAAGTCATTTAGCCTTCCAAGGCTCTAGGTCAGTAGTGTCCAAGTCAAATAGAAAGGAAGACCACTAAACCCTATATAAGGATCCCTGTGGGCCACATACTGATTTGGAAAGGGGACATGTTTGACACCTCTGCTCTAGGTGACTCTTAAGATCATTAAGGTGAAGAGAAGGTGATGACTGGCATTGTAGAAGGAATTTCCTTAACCGGGAATTCCCTAGATCAGTGAATTCACAGGTCCAGTCACTATTCCCTAACAAATAGAGGGTGAAATAATCAAAAAGATTATGATCTTATGATTGTATCACAAAACACTGAGAAGCAGTGCAGGATAAAATAAAATTGCAGCCAAATTAAGGAAGGACAGAAGACATAACTAGGACTAAGGCAGAAGAAACAACAATAAATCAATGTGAGATGGCAGACATCTCTACTGGCAACTGTGAGGGCATCTCTTCCAAACAACAATTGTGGTACCTTGAGTTCAGGCTCCACTACCTCATCATCCTCACAGACCCACAGGTGCTATGTTATCTCAAAAGATGAAGTAGAGAAGAAAAGGCAGAACAGGCCAAGTGCACAGAGAAGAAATTGATGCTAGAGATTTGCTTTATAGATTTAAAATTTTATTACAACCTGCAGAAAACAAATTGGTTTTTAAACTTCATGTTCAATCTACTTTTAAAATAACTGCATGAATATAATCTTCAAAACAACGACTTAGCCCAAATGTAATCTTTCAACAATATTTTGCTAAACCAAGTTAAAAAAAAAGTTGAGAATGAAAAACCATTTGTACATTTTTACAACATAGCACAAAATTCCTTATCTTTATATCTCTGAAATCTAAAATATTGTATGAATATGCTAAGACCATGAAAACTAACAAAAATAAAGTTAAATAACTTACCAATTGCCCCAGCTCTGAAATCCAGCAGCCTGAAGTACATGTACAGCAAACTGACAAATATACACAAAGAAGAATACAAAGAATCTGAAGGAACTATCACTCCTGAAGGAAAAGGGAAAAAAAAATTTTTTTCTCAATATACTTGATACTTATTACAATGTAACATTAAAACTAACAGGAGTAAACAAGGATCTCAGACCCAAAGAGCCACTTAAATACCTACCACTGAAGAGGGGGGAAAAGACAATTATTTTGTATTTGTGCATATATAGTTGAGGAAAACTTGTGAAAAGCTTTTTTTAAAGTTTCTGAGATCAGACCAATTTAGGAAGTTTTTTTAGTGAATAAATATATAAATTGATGTTTATCTTTTGGTACCTCCCCCCTTAAGAACATAGTGACCTATGACAAATAACTTATTCCAAAGAACTGTAACATTACAGAAATAGATCCATAGGCTCTATGATTCCACATTTTCAGAAAATGATACTTTCTAACAAAAACCAGGAAGATCTGACATCCACATATAAAAAGTGTTTAAAGTAGTATAAATTTAAATGATATTGTCTAAACATTCAATAGCAGTAATTGGAGTTTTCACATTATTTTTACAAACTTTTACTCAGTATTTATTACATGTGAGCACCGTGAGGACAACAACAAAAAATGACATTCCTGTCATCAAGGAGCTTACAATCTGGTAGAGGTGAAGAACCAAGTATATAAATAACTATCACACACTTTAGAATATAATTCATGAACCACAAACACATGGGAAATTTAAGAGTAAATACATAGAAAATACAAGAAGAATAAAATACAAAAGAGATTAAATACATAGAAGAGGCCAAATAGAATGAGAGATTTGAAAAAGAAGAAATAACAATTGAGGGAATCAGAAAAGGTAAGACCTGAGCTAGGTCTTGAAGAAGATTTCCACAGGCAGAGATATGGGGAGAAGCCTACTCCAGGCATGAGGAATAGAATGGGCAAATAGATAGAGACCTCTGAATATAGTATCAAACAATAATTATAACATCAACAATATGAAGTTTACAATTGTCATAGTAAATGACCTCAACTGCCAGGTTGTCTGGGTATTTTATTTAGGATATGATAGAGGATCTAATGAAGTTTTCTGAATAGGGAAGTGACCTATTCATACAATTAAGAATATTATTTTTGGTAGAAGTGTGAATGATGGATTGGAGGGACAAAGGAAGATGAGCAAACCAGTCATTAGGAAACCTATTATAAGAAACTTGGCATGATATCATGATATCCACCTACATGTCGCATCATGATATCATGCTATCTCTAAAAAGCAACTAAAAGTGTACAACTAGAGCTCAATTGGGGGGGGGGGAGCGCCCCTACAGGGTAGATGGAGAAACGAAAAGTTAGGAACTATGCCCAAAAGGGTATAAGACTGTGCCTACCCTTTGACTCAGTAATACCATTATTAGGTCTGCATTCAAAGTGGGGGGGGGGGCAGGTGGAGAGAGACCCAACGAAAAGAAGCTATATGTAAAAAATACTTATAGTAACTCTTTCTGTGGTGGCAAGGAATTGTAAATCAAGGAGATACCCATCAACTGGGGAATGGCTGAATAGCGCTACAAGAAATGAAGAGCAGTATGCTTCCAGAAAAACCTGGAAAGACTTACATGAACTGAAACAAAATGAAGTGCGCAGAACCAGGAAAACACTGTACACAGTAACAGCAATACTGTACGAGCAGCAACTATGAAGAACCGAGCCATTCTCAGCAACACAAAAATCCAAGATGATTCTGAAGGCCCTATGATAAAAAATGCTATCCATCTCCAGAAAAAGAATTGATAGAATCTGAATGCAGGTTGAAGCATACTGGTTTGGGTTTTTTTTACTTTATTTTTCTTTTGTCCATGTTTTCTTTCACAACATGACTAACATGGAAATGTTTTTGTATGACTATACATGTACAACCTATCAGATTGCTTGTCTTTGCAATAAGGGAAGGAGGGGGGAATTTGGAATTCAAAACTGTTAAAATTGTTAAAAATGAAGGTTATAAATTGTTTTTACATGTAATTGGGAAAAATATTCAAAATTCAAAAATAAATAGAAGCTATAGGAGGTGAATGAGATTGGGGAAAATATCAAGAGAGAAGAGAGTGTTAAGAAACAAACCTTGGCAGGGAGGTTCTTCCATATTTAGAGGGAGGAGGAGAAAAAAGTAGAAAAGAAGACCAAGAAGAGACAGACTGGGCAAGACAGGTCAGGAACAGTGCCATGGAAGCCAAGGGAGACAAAAATTATAAAGATGATGCTCAAATGTTGCAGAAAGGTCAAAGAGTAAGAACTGAAAAACGACTATTGGATTTGACAGCAGAGTTCTCTACTGACCTTCAGATAACAATTAAGCATGGTAGGGATGGATGCAACACTGCAAGGGTTTTAAAAATCAGTGGCGCAGGAAAGGAAGACAATATAAATAGACATAGATTAGCAGTAAATGAAAGGGATCAATCAACAAACACTAAGCCCCTACTGTACTATGTGCTAGGCTATAGGAATAAAAGACCACAATGAAATTGTCCTTGCCCTCAAGGAATTTATATTCTATCCAGACAGACAAGTAGGGCAGGTAGATGGCACAGAGAATAGAGCTCTGGCCTTAGAGTCAGGAGAACCTGAGTTCAAATCTGGCCTCAGACATGTAACACTCACTAATTGTGTGACCCTGGGCAAGTCACTTAACCCTGATCGCCTTACCAAAAAGCTTAAAAAAAAAAAGACAAGTAATTAATAAGCATTTATTAAGCATTCATCTCTGCCAAGCACTGTGATAAATGCATACAGTAAACCCCAACACTTACCTTAACATCCCCACATATAAGTAAGTATATACAAAATAAACAGAAGGTAATGTAAGGGGGTAGATACTAGCAGCTGAGGATACACAAAGACAGGATAATGGTTTATAGAAATAGCAGGGTCAGAGTTGGTTTGGTTTTGTTTTTTAAATAAGATAAAGAGAGCTGAGCATGTTTGTAGATGCTGAGGAATGTGAATGAAGATGAGGGAGAAAGAAAGAGGATAACCAAAAGAATATCCCAGAGCATATAGAAGGAATGGGATGGATAGGTTCACTTTGGAAAGGAGCGGACCATCTTATTCACTCAGACTTGAGAGTAAGAAAAAAGGGAGACAAGATTTAAAGTATGGAAGAGGGGAGATGAAGGAGCTCACACCCGATGCCTTTAGTCTTCTCAGTAAAATAGGAGGCAAAGTCCTCTGATTAAAAAAAAAAAAAGTAGGTATGGAATTGAGAACTTAAAAGTTTGAAACTGTAGTCTACAGGATCAAATCCCAACTCCTTAGTCTAGTATAATCATAATCTGTCTCCTAATTTACCTTTCATATCACTATCCTCGTCTTATGTTTTAGCCATACTGTATTTTCTCACCTCCAAGCTGTTCCCCATGTCTGTAATACATTCCCCTTTCTCATCTAGAGACCTGCTGAAATCCTTCTCTTCCTTCAAAACCCAGCTCAGGCACTCACCAGTTACCTCAAAGTGACCACTTCTTTACCTCTGTCACATTCTACCCTACTTCATGGCTACTGGTTTATATACTTTATACAAATGTCATACTTAAACTCTCAAGGCATAAAAGTAAATCTCACTAGCTCACAGAAATTCACTTCACCATTTTATATGACAAGATAAACATTAAAGGCATGCCTTTGCTAAGCATTAAAGCACCAAGAATACCATGGTGGTTGGAGTACCAGGTCTAGAGTTAGAAAGACCCCAGTTCAATTCAATCCAGCCTCAGACACTTACTACTGTGTGACCCAGGATAAATCACTTAACCTCTGTTTGCCTCAGTTTTCTTATTACCTAAGTACAATAAAACCTTGTTTTTAAAAAGCAGTGATAAAGTTTTACTGCAGGTCAAACAATCTCAGGGCACAAGGTTAGAGTTCTGTTTTGTTTTGTTTTTTCCTAATCACATAAAACCCATAAAGTTAGCATGATTATTTCTTAGTACATTAACTGAAGTAAGGATAATCAAATAAAACATTGTTTAGTCTGTTTTCGGCACTCTTGACAATCAGCAGTACAGTCACACCCCAGACCTCTCTCATCAGTAGAAATTGCTTCACATTTATGGTTTTGAATTTTGAGCACAAGATCAAAGATTTACAGCTGGGAGGGACTTTAAAGATCTCCGAGTACAACAGAGATTAAATGACTTGCCCAAGGTCACCCAGCTATTCTTGCCATCTAGCCCAGCATTCTCTCCACTGGACCACCTGGCAGCCTTGTCTGACCAAAACCTTCTTTCTTTCTCTTTCCCTCTTTTGCACACTACTAAAACTGCTCTTATTCCTCATCACAACTTGTAATCCTTTCAACTATTCCTTTTGCCCCAGTTGGTCCCCATCTGGCTTTACTTAGCTCCCTACATAGGTTAACGTAACCTCCGATCAATTCTCAATGCTGATCTTCAACCTTTTCAATCATTTCTAATGAGTCTTATTACACTGTCTACAGCAGCTGTTTTAAATCTTTTCCAGTCTCCTGCACTCTTACCCCCAATTTCCAAATGCTTGTTGGCCATCTTTACTTAAAGGTCTTGCCAGCAATTCAAATTCACTACGTCCAAAACCAAAATCATCGTCTTCCCTGCTAAACAGTTATTCCTCTTAACTTCCTTTTCCCGTTACCCAAATCTTAAAAATTTGAAGCTATCTGATCCTCCCTTTGCTTTCCTCTGTCCTCCAAATCCAATAAATTGTTTAATTTGAACTATGCCAGTTTGAACTGCACATCAACTAGCCCCAACTCTGAATGGCGTGTACACACTATCTCAGCAAGGACCTTTCATCTCTGGAGCAAAGCAAAGATTTATTTGGATGGCTGAAATGCAAAAAGATCCCATGGAACCTCCAAAATTCAAAAGTATTAATAATTATTCGTTTGACCTCCAAAATAGCCTAAGATTCTTAGCTTTCTCCTTTTTTTTTCATTCCCACTGACTCTTTCCGGTTATAACTAGATTTTATCTTATGTGACTCTCTCTAGTTGGACAGATCCTTTTCAGTCTCCT